CTCTCGAGAAGCGATGGTCGAGTACCCGTGTACTTACAAAGACCGACAAGGGCAAAGAATTTATCGCGCGACCGTTACAAGATTTTCTGAAAGAAAGAGGCATACGTTATCGAGCTCGTAATCGGACTTCAAAGCTGCCGTCATTGAACGCTTCAATAGAACGTTAAAGGAGCGAATTTTACGCATAAAAATACGCGGCGTTACATCGAAGTGTTGCAAGATATCGTGCGCGCTTACACACTTGTCATTCGTCCATCAGGATGCAACCGGCGGCCGTTACGAGAAAAAATGCTCGCATGTCATGCGAAAATATAGAGCAGTAGGGGGAGAAAGAAGGGGGCGCCAAAAGTAATAAAACGAAAAGCTAAATTCGATATTAACAATCTCGTTCGTGTCAGTAGAGCAAAAGCTTTCGAGAAAGGATACGAAGCGCGGTGGAGCGAGGAGATATTTCAAGTTTGTCGCGTTCTCCATTGGCGAAGACCCCGCGTGTACGAATTGTGTGATTTAGCGGGAGAACACATCGATGGGATTTTTTATGAACAAGAATTAGCACGAGTCGATAAAAATTTGGCGGAAGAAGAATTTATCGTCGAACGCGTGATAAAGAACAGAGGACGCGGTGCTAATAAACAGCTGCTAGTTAGTTGGCGAGGATATCCCAATAAATTCGACAGTTGGATTCCCGCTTCGAGTTTAACTTTTCTTCAAGATGGAGGAGGAACAATTTTTCATGATTCTTCCGAGCAATAGCAGTAAGAAGTATTTTTCAGGAAATATATACTCTTCTTTCACCACACAATTACCTCACAGTATACATTTATTCGGAGAATGGGAAGTCGCGCTTAGCGAGATTCAATTTTCCTCCAGTTTTTTTCATGTACGTCAAAACGATAATAAAATTAGATTCGCCGATTTGAAGAGCGTAAAGGATAAGAACAATGCTGATAAGTTTACGGTGAAAGAATCATACTTACGACCAGGTATTTATGAAAATAAAGACGATCTTATTTACGCGATTAATAGAGAGTGTAGATACGTCGATTCGCATTTTACTTTCGAACTACAAAAAGGCTCTGGTGGTAATGTCCTCATAAGCATCGAATATGACGAAAACTGCACTTTCGTTCATTAACATTATAAACCTGCCTGCTAATATTTTTCAAATATTGGGAAAAATCAACATTAATGATACCAGTCTTTTTTACCATCACAAATTACCTAATTCCAATGATTTAACTCCATTTTTCAAACTCGATTTTATCATCGGTGACGGAGGACGCGTTATATCTTCCTGAATTATAGAACTCTGTAATCTATGGCACGGTATCCCCGATAAAATGTACGTTTATTGCGATATTTGCGAGCTTTACATAAGTGGCGAAGTCCGCTTCGAATCGTTCCAGTCGAAATACCCGACTGTAATTACACGTACGGAACGAATCTGGTAAAATATTTCTCCACTCTGCGATATACTCTACTGCGTCAAACAAAATTCCGTAAAATTGAAATAGATATAAAAGATCATCGTGGAGAAAAAATACCATTCGTATCCGGAGCACTGATAGTGACATTACACTTTAGACGTGTTCGTTAATTATCATTTGCGGTGGAAAGTCTACGGAGCTTTGAGAAAAAACTAATTTCGCATGAAATACGACGTAGTATTCCGAGTCTGCATTACGAAATGCAGAGCGGTGGTGGAGGTAGGGGAGGAGGAATTCTTCGAATTTTCGTCGGTTCAGCCTATCAGCGTGGTCATGGGATCGGAAGTTTCCTCGGAGGATTATTTAGAAGAATACTTCCTTATCTAAGCAGGGGAATGCGCGCAGTCGGAAAAGAAGTTTTACGCACCGGAATTGCCATGATAAAGGATGTTGAAAACAATCCGTTCAAGGAAGCAGTCAAAACGCGAGTCAAGGAATCGGGGAGAAATCTCAAGAGAAAAGTCAAAGAAAATATAAGTAACTTGATGAGGGGGTCAGGATATAAAACATCCGCGAAAATACTTAGTTTCCTTTCGGAGGGCACGACGCACGCAACCGGTAAATCCGGGAGAAGCATGGTTCGTAAACGCAGACAAGTCGGTAAAAAAAAGAAATCATCGAAAATCGGCATGAAAAAAACGATTAAAAAAAAATCATCGAGGAGGAAAGCGAGAAAAATAAAAAGGCAACGAAATATCGACGAAATAGCGGGAAAAAGCGCACCGTATTCGATGTTTGCTTAACCGACGTGAGTGCGGTTAAGGTAAATTTGAAGATATGTCCTTTCTTCATACTCACTCGAGCGAGTGTTTAAAGAGCGAGCTTTTAGTTTACCTCCTATCAATATCGAGAGTTCACAATGGGTTTATTACAAACCGATAACTTCGCTCGTGGATGATGCACCTATAGAATTCGTCGTATCCGGGTACGGAAGATTATCTATATCTCACGCATACCTTGCTAAGCCTTCGCGTACGAGTGGAAAGTTTACCCGATCCTGGAACATCGGCAGAAGGAGGAAACAAAGCAGGTCCTGTAAATCACCTATTACATTCGATGTTCAGATCGACATGTACTTCAATAGCTACACTTACATTATTTAAAAATTAAAGTACTTAAAATTACATATATTATATTTATCTATCTATCGATATTGCTACTATTGCATTATTCCTCTCTACTCCTAATGTATGGCACTAGTGCTTTCTTGAACGCAGTTACGCAGTTTTTTTTCCTTTTTATCTCATTTGACAAACTATTGTACATTTTAATCCCATCGTATAATAACATTTTCTGTACCTCTCTTGTTGTACATCTATTTATATGCTGTAAAAATCAGATTTTTATCTATTATGACGCCTAAATATTTAATTTCACTAACAACTTCCAATACTGTATTTTCTATCTTTACATTTATATTGCTTTCCGAAACTTTTTTTCTTATCCCTCTAACTAACATAACTTTGGTTTTGTTTACATTTAACTGTAATCTGTTAATCTTTAACCACTCTTGAATTTTTCCCATCTGCTCGTTATTATTTATTTTTTTACTTGAATACCCTGTTGTATATATTAGTGCATCATCTGCAAATAGTCTAATTTCACAATTGCCACAAATAACCCTAGATAAATCATTTATATAAATAGAAACAACAGTGGTCCTAATACTGATCCCTGTGGAATCCCAGCAGCAATAGGATCTAATAATACTCTATTGAACTTTACTCTTTGTGTTGTGTTTTCCAAATAACTCTTAAACCAGTTTACTATCCCTTCTATTTCATACCATTTCATTTTCTCCATTAAAATTTCTATCTACTAACTCAAATGCTCTTCCTAAATCTAAAAATACAATTTTATCAACTTTCCCACACATTTCTTTCAGCTCAATATAATCCATTGTAGTGCAGTCTCACATGAATGCTTTGCCCTAAACCTTGATTGATACTCTTCTAATAAATTATTTCTCCCCAAATAGTATATGCCTGTAAATATAATTGCCTGTAAACTATTATTTCTAGTATTTTCTCATAAATCGGTAAATCGGTAAACTTATTTATTGGTCTGAACTTTTCAATTTTTATCATTCTTATTTTTGATATAGGAACTACTGTTGCTTCTTTCCATTCGCTTGGAAATATTTCTTCCTCTAAAGATCTATTTAAAATATAAAATTTTTGAATCTGCAACTGTTACTACTCTTTTCATTATCTCCACAGTTATTCCCTCCTCTGTAGCACTTTTATTTTTTAGTTTATTTTCTAGTTTTCTAGTTAAACTACTTGATATAATTTATCCACATTAATTGCACTAAACGCTTCAAATTTACTTTCGGTAAATTTATTCGTTGTTATAACCATTATATAATTATCTTCTACAGTCATAAGTAAGCTATCTACAAAATATTTATTAAATACATTTGCCATATATATCATATATATTATTATCTTATATATATTATTAAATACCACACTGAATCTCTTTGTATGTATTATCCCTACAAGAATTTCCCTTTAACAACTCCTTAAGTAAGCCATCTCCACATCCATTTGGGATCTTTTTTATTTTTATCTAATTTTAATTCAAAGTAGTTTCTCTTAGCTTTTCTACATTCGTTAATCATCTTGTTTCTGAGTTGTCGAAATAATTCCCAATCATCATTACACTTACTAATTCGTGCTAAGCTTGTAAGTCCCATCTCTTTGCTTTATCATTCGACGAATCTCTTCAGAAAATCACTGTTTGAACTGCCAGCTATTTCTTAGAGTAATTTTCCTATGTGATGCAACCTCACCAAGGCATTTTAATCTCATTTATTAAATTCGCCAGGACATTTACATTATTAGCCTCAATTGCATTTAGACTGCTATCAATTAATCTCATAAATTCATTTACATTCATTCTTTTATAATCTCTACACACAATCATTCTATTTTCTCTCTTTTCCACACTTACATTCCAGTATATAACAACTATTATATGATCCGTTATTTTTGGTTCGTGTTTTACTATCACTTGTACTTCTTCATTTGTAAAGACTAAATCAATTATCGTCTCTGAAATATTTACAATTCTTGTTGATTCATTAACCAATTGCTTTAAACCCATTTCATAAATTCATAATTCTCATTCTTCATAATTAATTTATTCTGACAGTAATTATTGACTTTCATATTTATATTAAAATCTCCCATTATAATGCTACCGGACTTCCGTTTCCGATCGTGTAGGATAGAGTCGGCGAATATTTGTAAGAGAGTGTGTGATGCGATAGTGAGAAGTGGAGTAAAGGAGAGAGTGTGTTTGTGCGGAGAGAGAGGGAAGGAGAGAGGGGAATGCATAGGAGTGGAGGGAATGTAGGGCGAAAGGGATTAAGGCGGAAAGAGGAAAGAAGTAAGGGGATTGAGATTAGATAAGGGGTAAGGGGAGAAGAGTGGTGAGAGAGTTGGGAGAAAGGGAGCGGATGAGACGGAATAGTGAAAGTCACTAGTACAGAATTAGTGTCTTTAGTAGGTGGCGGCCGCAGAGGTAGTAAGACAGAGAGCAGTGGGCATAAAATAGGTAAAGTAGTGATGGAGAAGACGTTGGCGAGAGTGGATAGAGAGAGAAGCGATAGCTTGGAGAAGAGTTTAGAGGAACAGATGAAGAGGAAAAGAGAAGTATTAGGAAATGATTCGGTAGATGAGGCGGAAATTTTTAAAAGAAGCAAGAAGTTGGGGAGATTGCCGATAGGAAAGGGATGGAATGAGGAATTGAAAGAGTTAGTTAGGGAGTTGAAGGAAGAAGTGAAAGAGGGATTGAAAGAGGTGAAAGAGGAGATAAAGGAGATAGCGGATGCTCAAAAGGAAGCGGTGAGAATAGAAGTAGAGAAGATGAAAGAGAATCTGAAGATGAGAGAGAAGAGATGGAACAAAGAGAGGGAGGAGTTAAAAGAGAAGATTGAGAAGATGGAATGGGAGTTAGAGGGATTAAAGATAGAGAGGATAGAGGAAGGCAGAGGAAAGGAGAGGGAGGAAAGTGAAGAACGATGTAGGAAGAAGGAGAGAGGGGAGAAGGAATGGAGAAAGAGAGTAAGAAAGAGAGAAGATATGAACAGAAGGGAGGGAGGAGAGAGAAAAAGAAATATTTTGTTGAAGGGATTGAAGAAAGGGGAGGGAGGACTGAAAGAAGAAGTGGAGGAAGTGAAGGTGGAAGAAATAAGGAAGATAGAAGCAGGTAGGAGGGAAAGGGGAAATATGGTGATTGTGAAAGTGGAAAGTGAGGAGGAGAAGAGAAGATAATGCAGAGTAAATGGAAGCTGAAGGGAAGGGATATATGAATAGAGGAGGATCTGACATGGAGTGAGAGGAGAATTAGATAGAAAGTGATGATAGAGGAGGCAAAAGGCAGAAGAGTGAGGTTAGGGCAGAAAGGAATTTGGATTGAAGGGGAATGGTGAGTATGGAATGAGGAGAAGGATGAATGAAGGGACGGGAGAGGGACAGGCTGGAGTGAGCGGAAAGATAAGGAAGAATAGAAAAAGGGGGAAGGAAAGGGGAAATGACAGGAGGAGGGGATACAGAACCAGAGGGAATAACTGGGGGAGAGGGTGAAGGTGAAAAGAAGGTGAAAAGAAGAGTAAAGAGTTGGTAGAGAAAGACAGGGGAAGAAGAAAGTTGTATGGAGGGCAGAGAGAAGAGGAAGAGGATAAGAAGAAGACAATACAGACGGAATTAAGTATAGCATTTTGAAATGTGGCAAGTTTAGGGAATAAGGATAGAGATTTTTGGAGGGCTGGAGGGATGAGATGTAATGATGCTGATAGAAACGTGAGTGGAAGGGAAGGACTGAGAGAAATATAGAGAGAGATTGCCAGATGGATATGAATAAAGGATTCAGGAGGCGAAAAGGAGGAATAAAAAGGGAAGAGCGATGGGGGGAATGATTTTGGATATAAGGAAAGAGTTGGTGATGCGGGAAGAGGAAGATTCGAAAAAGATAAAACGGTCTCGCTTTCCCGCGCGAAGAGCGGTCAGTCGGTTACCAGGAGGGGGAAGCGAGGACGTTGGAGACAGAAATTCGCTTGTTGGGGTTGGACGTGAATTGGAATAAAGAAATAATGATTTATTCACTTAACAGGACGATAATGGATGGTGCATTGGAATGCACCGATCTTCGTGAATGGTTGTGGCCGTGGACGGGCGAGACGGCGATCGGCGTGCGCGTATGGTTTAGAATAGAAATGAGATATTGCTTCGGCAGTCGACGCGATACTGTTCGCTGCGCGAAATTCGGTGGCGCGGGGCGCGCGCGGCGGTGTCGCACGTGCTCGCCGCGGATCTTTAAATCGACGGTGATGTTAAAGCGCTGTCGCGAAGGTGAAGTATTCGCGAGGGCGTTTGACTGTTTAGGTCGGAGAACGGGTGGGCCCGTTCCCTGCCGAGAGCGCTCGGCTGACGGGGGATGTACCCCTCCCGTCTGTCTCAATGAGTGCCGAGTGAACTCGGCCAGCAGGGGAGGGCTCCAGCTGTGTGCGAAGAAAGAGGCATCAGTGTCGAGTGTACTCGGCCGACCGGGGCGTACCCCGGTGCTCGGAAAGGAACGGTGGTATCGGGGAGAACCCCGATGCCCGGCAGTGAAATCTCGGGAACGGCGGAGTCGAATTGAGCGGACTCGACGCGCTGGGGAGACCCCAGCAGCTCTCGACTTGCCGTGAGAGATTCGGAGATTCGACCAGGCCAAGCGAACTTGGCGCGTTGGGGAGGGCCCCAACAAAACTCAGGCTTTCTACCAGGGTTCGGATACTCGCTTCCTTAAGACGTGCTCTCGGAAAACGAGCGAGGAACAGGAGAGAGCTTTCCTGTGGAGAGCGATCTTTTTATATCCGAGATCGACCTCGGTATACCTTCGGTCGGATCGGTCGGATTGGTCGATCTCGGGGTTAGCATTCCTCTCCCCAGGATCGGAAAAAAGGATCGGATATAATTGGTTTTTTGGGATTATAAGGAATAGGAGCGGGGGATGTTCAAGAGGAGGAATTCTGTGGTAACGGCGCGGTGCGGGGTTGGTCACGCGCTTGTTGACGCGGTCGTGGCACGGTGCGGGATGCTCGCTCGCTTGCGTGGCGCGGCGTCGATGCGGCGCGGAACGCATCCACGCTCGGTGGTACGGCGCGTGGTGCGGCGTGGGATGCGCTAGCGCTTGATGACGCGACGCGTGGCACGGTGCGGGGGAATACCATGAAAATAGGTATATTTTCGTGGTATTCTTGCTTTGCTCCGACGCTTCGGAGTTCGCGAATTTACAGCGATTAAAAAAGGGAGGCATAAATGCTTCTTGCGGCCACTGCCGCACTCCGCCTGTTGTTCGGCGGTTCCCGACGGATGGACGGTCGGGGGAAAATCGGAGGAGGAACGGAGCGGAGGGATGCGCTCCATTACAAAAATAGAAGAAATGATGATAGGAAAAGTGAAATATGATAAGGGGATTTTAAGGGTGGTGGGAGTATATATAAATGAGGATATGGAAAGAAAATTAAAGGAGATGAGGGAATGGATGGAGGGAAAGGAAGATGGAGGGACGATAATTGGGGAAGATTTTAATGCAAGAACGGGGAGAGAAGGAGACAGGATAAACTGGGAGGGGTGGGAGGAAGAAAGAAGGAATTCGAGAGATAGAAAGACGAATAGGGAAGGAAGAAGATTGGTAGAGTGGATTAAAGAAAGGGGTTGGTTTATTTTGAACGGAGGAATGAAAGGGGATGAGGAAGGGAATTGAACATATATAGGAGAGAGGGGGGAATCGGTAATAGATTACGTAATCGTCTTAGCAGAGGAGGAAATAATGGAGGAGGTAGCTCGCTTGGAGATAGGGGATCGGGTAGACTCGGACCATCATCCAGTGATGGTGTGGATGAAGGGAGGAGAATATAAGAGAAGAGATAGAGGAAGGATGAAGGGAAGAGTACGTAGAGGAATATGGGATGAGAAAGGAAGAGAAGCATTTAAAGGGAGGTTGGGGAGAATGGAGCTAGCAGAGACTAATATACAAGAGATAATAAAGGAGTTAGGGTGAAGGATAAGGAATACGTTGGAAAGATAGGAGGAGGAAAGAAAGGGGAAGAAGAAAAAAGGAAAGGATGGTGGGATGAGGAGTGTGAAACGAAAAAGGGAAAGGTCAAGAAAGCGGTGAGGGAATGGAGGAAAGAACGTAGAGAGGGTCAGGAGTATAGGGGAGGAAAAGAGAGAATATAAGGAGCTGTGTGATAGGAAGAAGAGAAAGGAGAGTGAGAAGTAGGAAAGAGAAACAGAGGAAGTGAAAACGAAAAGACAGGTATGGAGGTTAGTAAATAAAGAAAGGAAAAAGTGGAAGAAGATAAAATAAATAGATGGGATATAGGAAGGGAGGCGTATTTTAAGAATTTACTTGGGGGAGTAGGAAATAGAGTGATATGGGGAGAAAGGGGTGGAAGGAGAGCCGGAGAGGAGAGGGATATAGATAGAGGAGAGATACGTAGAGTGATTAGTGGACTAGGAAAGGACGGAAAGGCGATGGGAGTAAACGGAATTCCGAATGAGGTCTGGAGATATGGCGGAGAGGAGATCGAGAAGTGGATTTGGGGGGTCTGTAATAGGATGTGGAGGGGGGAGGGGTGGTCGGAGGAGTGGAAGGAGGGAGTGGTAGTGCCGATAGTAAAAAAGAGGTAGGGGGAAAGAGTGGAGAATTACAGGGGAGTAATAGTAATGCCGACACTGTATAAAATATACGCGGCAGTGTTGGCAGAGAGGCTAAGGGAGGAAGTGGAGGAAAAGAGATTGATACCAGAGGTGGATACCACGAATCAGATAGGAGGAGATTAGTTTTAGGAAAGGGATGGGAACAGTTGATAATATTTACGTTTTGAACTACATAGTAAATAAGCAGATTGGGAAAAAGGGAGAGAAACTAGTAACATTGTTTGTAGACCTAAAAGCGGCCTTTGATTCGGTGAATAGAAGGGAACTGGCAAGAACGATGAGGGAGAGCGGGAATGAGGGAGAGGTTGGTGGAGAGAATAGAGGAGATTTTAAATGAGATTAGGAGCAGAGTAAGTTTGGGGGGACAGATAGGGGAAGGTTTTTGGACGGCGAGAGGAATGAGACAGTGATGCCCCCTAAATCCCATGTTATTCAACTTGTTAATGGCGGATTTAGAGGAGAAGTTAGGAAGGGTAAAATGGGGAGGGGTAAAGTTGGGAGAGAGAAAGATATACTCTTTGACGTATGCGGACGACGTGGTGCTGATGGCGGAGGAGGAGGGAGAAATGAGGAGTATGATGGAAAGGTTGGAGAGATACTTGGAAGAGAAAGGATTGGAGTTGAACACAGAGAAGACGAAGATTTTAAGATTTAGGAAAGGTGAAAGGAGGATGAGTAAGATAGGATGGAAGTGGAAGGGAAAAAGAATTGAGGAAGTGAGGGAGTTTAAATACCTAGGATATAAGTTACAAAGAAATGGGGGGCAGGAAGCCTATGTGAGGGACAAGATAGCGAAAGCTGCGGTAATGGGGCAGGTATAGGGGATAAGAAAAAGAAGGTTCGGAAAGGTTACGAAGGGTGTGGCTCTTTAATAGGTTGATATGGACAGTGGTATGGTGTGGAAATTTGGGGCTGGAAGGAAAGAGAGGGAGTGGAAAGGATACAGGAGAAGTTTTTAAGATGGATTTTGGTGAGGGAAGGACGCCGGGATATCTAGTGAGGGAGGAAACGAAGAGAGAGAAATTAAGGAGTAGAGCAAAGGGCATGGGGATTCGAAGAGAGGTTGAGAGGTTAGAAGGGAGGGGCAGCATATTGGCGCAGAGATGCGTACAAGAGATGAGGGAGAAGGGAGTAAAAGAGAGGAAGCTTGCGGGATGGGAGAGGAGGAGAGAGCAGTTTTTTGAGGAGAGAGGAATAAGTATAGAGGAATGGGAAAGGAAAAGGAGGAACGATGAGATAAAATTCGAGGAGCTAGAGGAAAAAGACAAGGAGATGCAAAGGGATGAGAGATGAGAAAGGATAGAGAATGCAAAATTTTGTACATGGTACAGGTTCGTAAAGGGGGAAGAGATACCAATGTATTTGAAGAAGGGGTGGGGAGAGAGTAGATGAAGAAGGATGACAAGATTTTGGTTGGGTAATGAGATGAGAGAAGGGAAATACTGGGAGGAAGAGGAAAAAAGATTTGCAGACTATGTGGAGGGGGAATAGAGACATGGAAACATATTTGGGAAGAATGTAGGACATGAAAAGAAGGAGGAGGAGGGAGCTGAAAGGTGGAAGGTACGTGGAAGAATTCTAAGAGAGGAAGGGGAGAGAGAGCTTTGGATGACGGAGATGGAGGGGGAGAGAGATAGAGGTGGAGAGGTGGGCGAGTGAGTGGGTGAGAGAATGTGTGTGAGAATGGAAGAGGAGATGAAAATTGTAAACGGCGATGGAAGTCCGTAGGATAGGTAAGGGAGAGAGAGGAAGAGAGATGAGCGGTAGGCAGGATAGGTGGATAAGATAGATAGATAGGCGAGGCGAAACACGGAGAGAGAAATAGGGTAAAGCGAACGAGTAGGATAAGAAAATATATATACGAGATAGATTGAAAAGTATTGAGCCTTAATATGAAGATGACGTTACTCATCAAAATCATTCTAGTATAATATTATATGCTATAATAGTATATGCTTTGAAAGACTTTTGTGAAAATTTCAACCATTTTAGACGTTCAGTTATTGTTTGACAGTTGTTTGTATTACTCGATGTCAGTATTGTTGTAAAAATGGAAAAAAATTGAATATCGTGCCATGATTAAATTCTTACATTTGAAAGACAATACGCCTGCGCAAATTAAAATCGAGTTTAACGCTGTTTACGGGGACTCTGCCCCATCATTTGCCACCGTAAAAAGAGAGGCAGCTGAATTTAAATGTGGTCGTATCAGCTTGGTTGATGATGAGCGTTCGGGCAAAAACTGCGACCACCGCTGATAACATCGAAAATGTTCATCAAATGGTACTGGACGACTGTCGAATCAAGGTTAGAGAGATAGCAGAAGCTATGGGCATATCGAAAGAACGCGTTTGTTTGTATATATTGACTGAAGAATTGGATATGCGCAAGCTATCCGCGCGTTGGGTGCCGCGCTTGCTCACTTTGGATCAAAAACGAATTCGAATAAACATTTCTAAGGTCCTGTTGGAGCGAAACGAGTCAGATTTTTTGCGTCGATTCATAACTGTAGATGAAACTTCGATCCACTACACTCCAGAGACAAAAAAACAGTCAAAACAGTGGACTGCAAAGGGTGAATCTGCTCCAAAAAAGAGTGAAGACGATTCCATCAACTGGGAAAGTAATGGCGACTGTTTTTTGGGATAGTCATGGAATTGTGTGTATCAACTATCTTGAAAAAGATAAAATAATAACGGGAGCGTTATGCATCATTTACGCATCATTACTTGATAAGCTGAAGGCAGAAATTGACCAAAACAGCCGTATTTGAAAAAGGCATAACAACTCTTGAAGAAAAAAGTTTTCTTTAACAATAAGTTGTTTTAATAATACTATATAAAAAAAATATATATATATTTCTAAAAGGCGTAACAACTTATTATTAAAGAAACTTTTTTCTTCAAGAAAAGAATTAAAGCTACAACAATTATAGAAAAAAATAAAAAAATAATTACATGTTTGTTAGAAATATTTGTTTTTCAAATACATATAAAATAAATTTCGTATGTCAGCATATGTAGCATACGAAGGTCGCTCGATGAGTCAGGAAATTTTTACGAGATAGCGCCACAATGAACTGTGTAGTATATGGCAGGAAGTAACACTATACAAACTGCCTCATACCAAATTTCAGCCAAAAGCGACGCTTAGTTTACATGTGACAGACGTTGGAAGTGCGCATGACAGTAGTTGTAAAAATGGTGAAAGACGAATTCCGTGCAGTGATTAAACATTTTTATTTGAAGAAGTAGACGGCTGCGCAGATTAAAGCCGAATTGGACGAAGTTCGCGGGGACTCTGCACCCGCATTGAAGATAACCTTTTATATATTTTTGGATTAATGAATTCAAAAGAGGCTAGACATCAATCAAAAATGAAATGCGCCCCGGACATCCAGTTGAAGTCACGCCAGAAATAATTGAAAAAATCTATCGTATCATCATGGAAGATCGCCGAATGAAGGTGCGTGATATAGCTGAGATTGTATCTCAGTAGATAGGATACATAATATCCTGCACAAAGAATTAGAAATGAAAAAAAGAAATGAAAAAGCTTTATGTGATGGGTGCCGCAATTGCGAACCATTGATCAAAAACGCATGCGAAAAGACATTTCGCAGCAGTGTTTGTCGATGCTTAAGCGCAATCCACAAGACTTTTGGCATCGATTCGTGATCGTAGACGAGACTTGGATCCATCACTCGAGTCAAAACAACAGTCGAAGCAATGAACAGTGCCTGATGAATGTGTGCCGAAGAAGGCAAAGACTGTTTTGTCGGTCAGGAAGATAATGACCACTGTTTTTGTGGGATTCCCAAGGAATCATCTTCACTACTTACAGAAGGGTCAAACAATCACAGGAGCATATTATTCTTCTCACTTCTGAATCGTTTATATGAAGAGCTGCAAACGAAACGGTCGAGATTGGCGCGCAAAAGGTCATCTTTCACCATAACAATGCTCCGGCTCACACCTCTACAGTCGCAATGGCAAAATTGCTTTCAAATTGCTGCCCCATCCATCCTATCCCCCATCCTGATTTAGTCTCTTGTGACTTCTTTCTATTCCCAAACTTTCTATTCCCTCTCAAGAGCTGGCTTGGGGGAAAGAAATTTTCGTCTGATGAGGAGGTCATCGCTGGATGCGTATTTTGAAGGCTTCGAGACTTCCTATTTTTCCGAAGAGATCAAAAAATTGGAACACCGCTGGACTAAGTGTGTAGAGCTCCAAAAAGATTATGTCAAAAAGTGAAAATTTTCCGAAAAATAGGTGATTTTATTGCTTTTTTACTTGACTTATCGAACGACCCTCGTATATGCGATTTTCATGCGTATGCGTGTTCCCTTACTTCATATGCATGCGCATAAGTTTTATACATGTGTTTTGGGGCCATGTATTTGAGGCAAGTTAGCGATCTAGTATATATAAATGTCTATGGAGGAGAACAAAAAATATTTTCTTCTCTGATTGGTTATAGAGTCATAACGACATTATGATGCACTGTAGATCCCGCATTAATATAGATGGTTTCGCGTTTTGGAAGTGATATATAAATTAGTTGACATTTCATATTGCTTCCAGTAAAAGTTTTTTTTAGTGACAAATTGGTGTAAGTATCGCTTTGTCCTTATTATTCATTGAATGTTAAGGATTTTAATTATGAATGTAGTATACATGGACTCCGCATATGATCAGAAAAGTGAAGCTAACATATCGAGCTCCTCTGTTCTCCATTTCCTTTTGCGCGGATAAATGACGCAGTAAGAAAATCAACCCCTTTATTCTCGCTGTCTTTCTAGATGTTGGCTTCACTCGATTAGACAACAGAACAAAGGGCGTTCGTTTTAATAAAGTTCGTTTTAATAAAATTAATAATAACATTGCAGTACAAGTTTTTAGTAACATAAATCGATGTAAGTATCGCTTTCCTTATTACTCATTGAATGACAAGAATAAAATAACATTTGTATTGACTTATATTATTAATTTAAAAAGTTCAGAATTAAATAATAACGGAATCATTAATTAGAAATTGTATAATATAATCTTATAATAACTTTTAAACAGGAAATCAGGAAAAATTCAGGTAACTCTCTGTAAATCTTAGATTCGGGTGCATCA